CCAAGCATCAACTTTACAGAGCCAAGGAGGAAATTTCTAGTGGAGAAGAGTTCTTTTGCCCACACCTGCTGTGACCACTGATGCTTGGATTTGTTGCAGTGTTGCACCAGCATGGAGGGACTAGGAGTTCTAAAGGAGAAATTTAGTCTTAGACAGTCATGAGGGAATACTGGCTTCTCTGCCTCTGGATGAGATCTTTGGCAAATAAATTTCTTAAATTCTGTGGGTTTTAGTTTTCTGCACTTTAAGTGGATATGATTAATAGCCTTCATGTCACAGGGTGGCTTAAAGTAGGAGATATTAATATATATGTTTTTACAAAATAAAAAATATCTAAATGTTACATGAGTGCCAGTGTTGTGGCACAGTGGATTAAATTACCACTTGGGATGCTAGAATCCCAAATTGAAAGACTTCTTCAAGTTCAAGCTGCTCCAATGACAGAGATTCCTGCTAAAGTACCACAAAGGTGGCAGAAGATGGCCCACGTACTTTGGCGCCACCCACCCATGTGGGAGACCAGGATGGAGTTTCTGCTTACTGGCTTCAGCCTGGCCCAGACCTGGCTATTGCTGCCATTTGGGGAGTGAACCAGCAAGTGAAAGATATCTCTATCTTTTCCCGTCTCTCTCTCTCTTGCTCTGCATTTCAAAGAAATATTTTCAAAACACATAAATAAAATTTTTAACTCTGTTAATGTATTTAGCTTTTTCATGAAATAGTACATTTAGGATATCATTTTAAATATTTTAAATATATTAAAAGCCATATGGGATAGCTTCAGGTACTGAAAAGGGTGTACAATATCATATTCATAGCTACCATTCATTTTATTTATTTATTTATTTTTAACTTTTATTTAGTAAATATAAATTTCCAAAGTACAGCTTATGGATTACAATGGCTTTTCCCCCCCATAACTTCCCTCCCACCCACAACCCTCCCAATTCCCACTCCCTCTCCCATCCCAATCACATCAAGATTCATTTTCAATTATCTTTATATACAGAAGATCAATTTAGTATATATTAAGTAAAGATTTCAACAGTTTGCACCCATACAGAACATAAAGTGTAAAATACTGTTTGAGTACTAGTTATAGCATTAATTCACATTGAACAACACATGAAGGACAGAGATCCTACATGAGGAGTAAGTGCACAGTGACTCCTGTTGTTGACTTAACAATGTGACACTCTTGTTTATGGCGTCAGTAATCTCCCTAGGCTCTTGTCATGAGTTGCCAAGGCTATGGAAGCCTTTTGAGTTCGCGGGCATCGATCTTATTTAGACAAGGTCATAGTCAAAGTGGAAGTTCTCTCCTCCCTTCAGAGAAAGGTACCTCCTTCTTTGATGGCCTGTTCATTCTACTGGGATATCACTCACAGAGATCTTTCATTTAGGTGTGTGTTTGTTTGTTTGCCAGAGTGTCTTGGCTTTCCATGCCTAAAATACTCTCATGGGCTCTTCATCCAGATCTGGATGCCTTAAGGGCTGATTCTGAGGCCAGAGTGCTGTTTAGGACATCTGCCATTCTATGGGTCTGCTGTGTATCCCGCTTCCCATGTTGGATCGTTCTCTCCCTTTTTTATTCCAGCAGTTAGTATTAGCAGACACTAGTCTTGTTTATGTGATCCCTTTGACTCTTAGACCTATCAGTATGATCAATTGTGAACTGAAATTAATCACTTGGACTAGTGAGATGGCATTGGTACATACCACCTTGATGGAACTGAATTGGAATCCCCTGGCACGTTTCTAACTCTACCATTTGGACCAAGTCAGCTTGAGCATGTCTCAAATTGTAATTCTCCTCAGCCCTTGTCCTGACTGTTGATGTACAACTTAATACTTTATCCCTTTTAGTATTTTTTGTTCTACTCAATACTATTGGTTGAACTCTGTAATTAACACACAATTATTCTTAGGTGTTTAAATTTAACTGGAAAGTGATCTCTGTTAAATATAAGAGTGGGAATAAGAGAGGGAGGAGATGTACATAAATTAATTTTATATATACTTGTTATTTGGGGAGACATGAAAAAAAGCAAGTCCCCTTCTTTACTGAACTGATTTTTAGAGCAGGAATGGAGAAGAAAGATTTCAGGTTGGTAGACAGGAGTGTCAATTTGTAAAGTCAACAACAGGAGTCACTGTGCACTTACTCCTCATGTAGGATCTCTGTCCTTAATGTGCTGTACATTGAGATTTAATGCTATAACGAGTACTCAAACAATATATTTCACTTTGTGTTTCTATGGGGGTGCAAACTGTTGAAATCTTTACTTAATGCATACTAAACTGATCTTCTGTAAAAAAAAAAAAAAGAAAAAAAAGAAATTATCAATTCCCAACTTGACTCTCACTGGGATTAAACATGACAATAGGTCTGATCTGATTTCATCATCATTTAAAAAAATCATCTATTATTTTTCACTTTATGTTTCTGTGTGGGAGCAAACTGTTGAAATCCTTACTTAATGTATACTAAGCTGATCTTCTGTATATTAAGATAATCGAAAATGAATCTTGATGTGAATGGAAGGGGAGAGGGAGTGGGAAAGGGGAGGGTTGTGGGTGGGAGGGACGGTATGGGGGGTAAGCCATTGTAATCCATAAGCTGTACTTTGGAAATTTATATTCATTAAATAAAAGTTAAAAAAAAAAAAGATTTCAGGTTGGGAATCAGTTAACAGAAATGGTAATCATGCAAACTATGGAAAGCCTTCGTCAGGTCTGTTCCAGGGCCAAGCAGGCAGTCAGCTTTCTGTCCAACCTTGCTGATTTTCACATTAACCAATGCCATCATTTCTCAATCTGGTCTTCTGCCTGCCTACTTCTAAATTATCTGGAAGTCAAAACTACTCACTAGCACATCCTGTCATGCTCTTTCTCCTTCCCTTTACAAATTTTCAAGTTCTGTCTCTTTTTTTCTTTTCTTTAAAGTTTTGTTTTATTGATTTGAAAGGCAGAGTTACAGAGAGATAGAGATAGAGATGATGGAGATGGAGATGATAGAGATAGAGATAGAGATAGAGATAGAGATAGAGAACGAGATAGACCTTCTGTATGCTGTCTCCAAATGGCCACAATGGCCAGGGCTGGGCCAGATGGTGCCAACAGTCTATAACTCCATCCAGATCTCCTACATGCTAACAGGGGTCCAAGTACTTGGGCTGTCTTCTCCTGCTTTCCCAGGCACATTAACAGGAAGCCAGTTTGAAAGTGGAGCACGCGGGATCAAAACCCATGCTCTGACAAGGGATGCTGGTGTCGCAGGCAGTGGCTTAACCTACTGTGCCACAACACTGGCCCCTCAAGTTCCATTTCTAAGCCAGGTTCCAGGGGAGTCAACAGGTTGACAGCTTTGCCCTCATGACAGTCTGTGTGGGAGGCAAACATCTCACAAAGTATCACCGAGTTGCAGTTGCATTCAGCGCTGCAAAGGGGAGAATCTGTGACAGGAGATTCCAGGAATCCTCTTAGACGCTGGCAATGATGCCAGAAGATAGAAAATGACATCCTCTCAATCACTAATCACTACTCAAGCCAAGGGCCAGAGGGAGACTACCTGAGGTGAGAACAGACATCCTAGCTGCCTGGTGTGCAGTGCAGTCTTCATAGCTTCCCCTACAACAGGAAACCCTCTGCCCACCAGTGTATTCTGTTCAGTACCTAGAGGCACATGTGTGACCTGAGTCAGAAAGAAGCACATAGAACAGCAAGCATATTCGCATACGGTTTTCTCCTCAATACCACCTGTTTGGTAACTTGTCACAGTACCCAGAGCTCACCCGGATTTGTTGCTTAAGTGATGATTTGCTCCATGTTACCACATCCAAACTGCATGTTCATTCACCCCGACATCAACCCACTGAAATGGGTTCTGTTGGGGTCTCCACTTTGCAGGTGAGACAGCTGAGGCTTAGAGAGAGGGAATGACTTGCTGAAGTTCCCATGGCTTGTACGTGATAGAGCTGGTATTCAAAACCCGGGTCTGACTCTACACTCTGTGCTTGGATTTTACATGGTGCTATACATTCCCACCCAGAAAACTGATAGTAAATTTTATAATTGCTATGTGCCCTTCCTGTCAGGTTTTTTGCACCAAAAACAAGTAAGCATAACAGCATCCTTGGGACAGCGTTGAAAGGCTCTGTACTCCCACCAACAGGCATCCATCTTCCTTTGAAGATTGAGGGAACCCACCCAACATATCCCTTCCTTTTTAAGTTCCAAGTTGATGAACACCAAGAACTGAGGGATTCCATTAGGTCAACCTGCAGCTAGTTCACACAGAGACCTAAGTACAAGAAGTGTCAGGAGGGGGTGGGTGTCGTAGAGCAGAAAGTAAAGCTGCTGCTTGGGACACCCACATCCCCTATCAGAGTGCTGGTTCCACTCCTGGCTACTCTGCTTCTGATCCAACTCCCTGGTAATGTGTCCTGGGAAGGCAGCAGATGATGGCTCAAGAGCTGGGGCCCCTGCCACCAATGTGGAAGACCTGGATGGCTCAGCCTTGGCCATTGTAGACATTTGGGGAGTGAACCAACAAATGGAAGACTCTCTCTCCTTCATTCTCTCTCTGCCTTTCAAGTATATGAAAATAAATAAGCATTTTTTTTTAAATTTCAGTGGTCTTAGGCTTTTCTAGAATCGCGAACCCTCCACTAAGCAGCCTGGGCTTAGCTAGAGTCACTTGTCTCCATTCTAAAACAGAAAAGAAGGCGCTAAGCTCCTATCCTTGTAGTAGAATATGAATGAGTAAGACTATACTCTCACATTCTCTGTCTCTCTCTCTCACACACACACACACACAAAGCAGTGGCTGTGGCTAGAAAAAAAATAGCAGACAGATTTTCTTTTTTAGTACCTTTTTGTTTTTCATGGCCATGCCCATGTGCCAGCATATTGTTTTAACTCTGATGGTGATACAGTATTGAGCTGTGAACAATGCAACATTAAACACAGCCTCACGTTCATCCTCTTTTTCCCCCTAGGTGAAGGCAGCCTCCAAGTATGTGGATGTACCTGTGAGTATTTGAAAATTGGTTTTTGTTGTTTTGGCTTTTGGATCTTTTTATGGTTTGGGTTGTTTGTGTATTGCTTTCATGAAAATTTCAATGGTGCTGTTTTCATTAGTTGCTGCTAAACTGTGTGTTCCTGGCTTGGATCATGAGAAAGAGAGAAGCCAAGAGCATGTCATAGTAGAATCTTTTTCAGACAGAAGAGGGTATTGTTGCTTTGGTCAGGAAGAAATGTTCTGTTTGAGGGTAAACCCCATTAAGTTCCCTTTTCTGTTCTTGTGCTTGGTCTCCTTGATGTGTTTCATTCAGTCTGCATTCTGCACACCTGCCCTCCCATATGCACGTCTTGGGAGCAGAGCCCTGAGCTAGAAATTGGCACAAGGGTGCCGGTGTTTTTTTAAAAAACAAATATATTGTGAATTTGTTCACTTTGGGGTCAATTCTGCAATTGTTTTCAGGAAACCTTACAAAACTGCTTACAATTAGTGCGGGCCTCATTAATGAAGAGAGCCCTCAGAGTTCTCAGATAAAGCCATCAAAGTTGCCCAAAATTTACATTTAAATTGAGGTTAAGTACTGCACATGAATGTTAACGTGTGGGATTACCTGTGATAAATCAGGATACACTTATGGACAGACTTTGTCTTGCCTATTAGCAAAATAAAATTGGAGAGATTTAAATATATTCCAATAAAGGGGGAAAGAAAATGATTCTGCTTCTCCATTTCTAACAAAAGAGGTGTGAGTCTATTATAAAATATTAAATTTAGGGAGCTTATCTCAATAGCCACCAAGGGTCTTGAACTGAACGTTTCTTATTCTGAACGTGGTTAAGTACCCTCCTTGTTCAAATACTTATTTGTTAAAATTTGTTTTTTTCTAAAAGGATTTATATTAACATTTAAATTCGTTTCCCCAGGAAGCTAAGTGTGTAATGGTTTATTGGCTTATTTCTCAAAGGAAGACAAAATGGAAAATTGGAGTGAATTTAGCATTAGCATATATTTTGTTTGTTTAATGAAAGAATGTACAATCAATAATTATGCTTTGAATTTATATAATACTTCTCATCAAGGGACCTCTGATGCCTTCGTGTAGACAGATTTCATAATGGAAACTAGAAAAAGCTCACCAAACTGCAGCAAGGAGAGAAGTTAAGCGTTTTACTTTCTCAAGCCCGAGTATAAACTTTCACTTCACAGGAAGCAAAATACTCCAATTCTCTGGCCCTGTTTCTCCATTTTACAAATGGAAATTATAACACCCAACTCATAGGTCTGCTGTGCAGATTAAATGACACAACACTCAGGAGGCACTGAGCACCATGCCTGGCCATCAGGAGCCATCCCTGTATGGGAGAAGGATGGTGGGGGTGTGAGGCCCACACTCTAGGCAGGGGCAGAAGAGGGTTCGGATATGCTGATGTTAGCCCCAGCCTCCCCTGGTCTGCACACTGAAAGTTTAGCCTCTCAGTCCACTGATCTGGCAGATCTCAAAGGAGAAGGGAGATTTCAACAGCAAGCAAGGTTTGAATGGGTAGCCCATGAACAAGGCCCAAATACCTGGAGAAATTTTATCCAGCATGAATTAGGCTGAAGAGGTTCAGCCCAGGGTCCCAGGGCTGTAATGTGGCAGAGCTGAGCTTTAAACCAATGTTCCTCAGCACTCAGCTATATCGCATTATGACTTCAATGACAGCATCTTTGTGTGGAGATTTGAACAATTATTTTGGTATTAGAAAAACAAGTGTGGGCTGGCACCATGGCTCACTAGGCTAATCCTCTGCCTGTGGCACCGGCACACCGGGTTCTAGTCCCGGTCGAGGTGCCAGATTCTGTCCCAGTTGCGCTCTTCAGGCCAGCTCTCTGCTATGGCCCGGGAGTGCAGTGGAGGATGGCCCAAGTGCTTGGTCCCTGCACCCGCATGGGAGACCAGGAGAAGCACCTGGCTCCTGCCATCGGATCAGCGCAGTGCGCTGGCCACAGCGGCCATTGGGGGGTGAACCAAGGGAAAAGGAAAACCTTTCTCTCTGTCTCTCTCTCTCTCACTGTCCACTCTGCCTGTCAAAACAAAAAACAAAAAAACAAAAACAAAACAAAACAAAAAACCAAGTGTGATTAGTTCACCAAACCTATGATTTCCCTAATTTCACCAATTAATGGCATAGGACAAAGCTGCACTATAAAATGAAGTTGATTGGGATGGACATGCAGCATAGCATTTAAAATGATCCCATCCCATCGTGGAAAACCTGAGTTTGATTCCTGGCTCTGCTCCTGACTCCAGCTTCCTGCTGATGCAGATCCTGGAACCCAGTGGTAATGGCCCAAGTGATTGGCTTCCTGCCCCCTACCATGAGAAACCTGGATTGAGTTCCCTGCTCAACCCCAGCTGGGGGCTCTTACTGTCATCTGGGGAGTCAACCAGCAGATGGGTGTTCACTCTCTGTCTGCCTACCTCTCAGATAAATGACTCAGTAAAAACTTTAAAAATAAATAAATAAAACTGATGAATGTATACTTTTATAGAAATATCCTGATCGGAGCAAGCTAAGATTACAATGTCTTTTCTTAAACTACAGAGGGGCCTACTCACAAGTTATCTGTTTGCACATGGATGGAGTTAACTCTGTTGGTATTTTTATATATGTGGCTAAATGCTTTCTAAAGTCTATGTTTCATTTTTTTAAGATGTATTTATTTCTTTTGAAAGAGAGACAGGGAGAGAGAGAGAAAGCAGGAAGGAGAAAGAGAAAGGTCTTCCATCCACTGATTCACTCTCCAATTAGCCACAATGGCAGGGCTGGTCCAGAAGAAACACAGGAGCCTTGAACTCCATCTGGGCTGCCCATGTGGGTGGCAGGTGACCAAGTACTTAGGCCATCATCTGGTGCTTTCCCAGGCACATTCGCAGGGAGCTACATAGAAAACGGAGGTGTTGGAACATGAGCTGTTGCTCTGGTATAAGATACAGGCAGATAATGGCATTGCAGGCAGCAGTTTGCATCATAATTCCAGCCCCAAATTTACATTATATTGCATCAGTCTGTCCAAACCACACTTAAATAAACAATGTCATTGTGAGGTACTAAAACTCATCACCTAAAAGTTTATCTCGCTGTGTATAGGTAGCAATGTAATCTGAAGCCTAATTTATCGAGTATATTTTTGCAGCTATAACTATAGGTTAACTTATTTGTCAACAGTTTTAAGTGTTTTGATTAGAAATCTACTTAAAATGAATTCTGAATCTTCCCTGCCTGTTGAAATAGACTTAACTGTGGTTTAATTTTTCTTGGTGACCCAGGATCAGTACTGTGACTAGGTCTTTGCCCAGTGACCACATAGCTTCCCCCAGGGCCTCCCTGGGTCTGGGGCTCCATGCCCCTGCCCTCAGTAGTCCCAAACACCAGCCGTTGGTGAGTCTGTGTCCAGTGTTGCAGTTTGGCAGCCTCATCACTCATGCTCAGGGCATCAGGAAAGATGACGCTCTTATCAGTACACCTGTTTCCAGTGGTTCCATTCTTCCCATTTCTGGTCCAGCGGGAGATGTAAACTTGTAATTGTTGGAATGGGAATGAAGCTAATTTTGAAAGGAAGATGGCTGGGAGTGGGAACCTGAGGACTCTATGATGATAAAACTATGCATTTTCACAAAGACATTTTATTATTTTTATTTTGATACGGGCTCCTCGAAGGTCCCTTTTTTTCTTGATTCAAAGTAGATTCTAAAGGTAGCAAAGGCTATGGCACGATATAATATTGTGAGTGCTGGAGAATCATAGTGACTCATTTTGTAGTACAACTTATCGCATTTCAGGTCATCTCATGTACGTTATTTTAGTTCATGATCATAAGAGTTCTGGAAGGTAAGTAGGGAAGCCGTTAGTATTCCCATGTTACAGATGGCATAACTAAGACCCAGAGAAGCTTAAATGATTTGTACAAGTTCCAGTTTGTGAAGGACCCAGTAATAATCCATGCAGTGGGACTGAGAGCTTTAAAAAGGTGTGAGGGGGATTTCTGTATTCATTCATAGATGTGGTCACTCAGCAAATACTTACTGAGCACCTGTTATGTGCTAGGCACATTCTAGGTGCTGGAGAAATTATAGAAAGTATGTCAAACAAAGTTCCTGTATTCATGGAGCTTATGTTCTTGTGAAAGAAGATTAGAAATAAATACTTAATTGAATGTCAGCTATTGAAAAGTGCAGTGGAAAAACAACAAGATGAAATCAAGGGATAGAGAACTGGGGACCTTGTTAACTACCTGGGTGAGATGAGCCACACTGATTCTTGGTTTTGTAATCAGTTTTCTACATGATGATTCCCTCTTGGAGGACAGTTCACCTTAGTGGAAAGAGAAGGAATGGTGAAGATACACCTCATTGTCAATCACTGATTCAGTGTTATAGGTCTGTTGAATTTGACTTTGGATCTTCTAAGATCCTGCAAATATCCAGGAAAAGGCTGTCTCTGCCACAGACATCAGTAGGGAAGGAATGGAAACAGTAGTAATAAGTTTCTCAGGTCCTCCGGGAAAAGGTCCCCATCCCTAATGAGAGTGCCTTTAGATGCACGAGACTGCCCAAGAGAGAGAAAGAGAAAGGGGCCAGGTTAGAACTGATAGCTGTCGCTTGTACCTCATTGGAGAACCTCTCTTGTTCCATATCATAAAACTGCAACAGTTATAGGACCATCATGGAACCTGCTCAATCCATTCACTGAAAATTGCTTGAAAGTGTAACACTTGACTACTGTGGCTTTGGGCTGTCCTCATTGTTTTTCAAATTAATACCTTGTCATTGTTTCAGCAGGTGTTAAGAAATGTTACTAGCATCCCAGGGGCCAAGCATTGGCCCTTTGCTTGATAATTGTTTGCTTTGTATCAGGAAAAAAAAATACAGTCCTACTGTTTCCAAACCGTCCTCATTTTCACCCTGGAAATTACACAGAAGTGTTAACTAACTTCAATTTGCAGTGCCTGACAGTCACGTCTTGTAGAGAAATGATACTTTGTGATCTAAGGTAAATCACAGTAATGAAAACTCATCCTTTTAGTTATTAGCAAACATATGTATCTACTGTGGAAATTTAAGGGGTTTGTGGCAGCTATCCTAATGACCCATATTACAGTGTTTTAATAGGTTTCTTTGGAGATAACATTGATTGCAACATCTCAAGCCGTTTGCATTCTGAGGGTTTTTTTTTTTTTCTTCCTTCTAATAAATCATTCCCTAACTACTGGATGAATTACCTGCTTACCTTCCCAGACAGTCTAATTTATTTAAAAATTGAGTCTTCTCCCACTTCCCCTTGCCTTGGCTTTTTTTCTTTTCTTATTTTTTTAATCCTTGGGTTTTCAGGCTGCGTTGGAAAGTAATAACAAATGTTTGAAGTGCTTGAATGTGTCCTCTGAGTAAACTAATTAGCAGGTGCTCACTGCACACCCTCAGGTTAAACTAACCCTCCAAAATAGGACTTGGGTAAGAAGATGTAATAGGTTTACATACTATTTATTTACTTGGCACTTTCTCCATCTTTTTAAAGAGGAAAAAAGGGATGGGAAATACCTTTGTAGTGTATGAACGTCAGACTTTGTGAGACAACACGTTTGACTATTTTCCAATGGGGGGTTTCAATCCAAAGCAAAAACAGAGAATGTGAGTTATTCGGTGAAGATGTATCTACTAGATACATTTTCCAGGAAAAAAATATTAACAGTAGGAAAATATCTATAAAAATCCTACCATTCCAGCTTCCTTCTTAGCCAGACTTGGTTTCTGGAAAGAGTAGGAGATTCTAATACATGTTTCTACCAGGCTGGGCTGTAGATAGATATTCTAGGGCTACAAGGGTGATCACTAAAAAGCAATTTGGCAGGAGGAAGGTAGTCAAAATGATGAGTCCCCATCTGAAAACTGCACGTTCATGTTTTCCTATTTCTTTGCAGAAACCCGGCATGGACGTGGCCGATGCCTACGTGACTTTCGTCCGCCACTCTCAAGATGTCCTGCGTGATAAGGTCAATGAGGAGATGTATATAGAAAGGTTATTTGATGTAAGTAGATGCCTTCTCCTCCTTGGAGACCAAGGAGGAGACCCTCCAAAATGTGACAAAATAAGAGACAGGAGGATAAGTCACATTTTGAGAAAACGGATTGGTCCTGATTCAACAAAATCTTTCCCTCTCCCTCTGCCTTAGGCTCTTATCTGTCTTGTGTCTGTTCCGAACCCACTCCTGGTGTGGCAGTGTCTCAGTCCAGTCTGTGTGCTACGTGGGACTGCTGGGACTGCGCACAGCCTCTCGGCCAGCAGGCTCGTCCCCGCGCCGAATGTGCGAGGCAGCTTTCTCTAACTGGCAAAGACCTTCCTTGCTCATGGTACCCCTCCTTGCAATCTGGCCTCACTCTGAGGAGATGTTCTCGTCAGGGAGGCTGAGACAAAGTCTCTCTCCTAGGGGTGGAGCCTCCCTGACACCAGCTGTGGTGTGCAGATGTGCAGCAACTGTCACATTGTTATCTCTTTAAAGACGTTTTCTTTTCTTGGAAGACGAGAAATCCTTAGCCATGGCTTTCGGCACACATTTATGTAAGAGTTGCTCAAGCAATTGCAGTTCCAAAGCTTGATGCCCCTTGCACACCCACCCACCCACCTGGAAACCTAGGAGAAGAAGCAGGTGCACAAAGAGCCGTTGCATGGGGCTGCCAGACCCAGATGGAATTTCAGCAAAGGCAGGTTTCCAAGGGTTAATAGTTTTTGATGAATCTTATTTCCACTGTGACTGCATCTGCACTGCAAAGCAAGCCACTGAGGCTAAAAGGAAAATAAGATGATTCTGCTTCCATTTCCAGTCGCCTGCCTCTTTCAGGCCAAAGCAGATGGGGTTACCTAATTTAGCCAGATATTTTGCTTCCGGTTCCGCACCCCCCCCCCTCCAATCCCCACCGAATTTGCCAGTGTAGACCCGGCCAGAGTGCATGGAAGCTGATGTTGTCCTGTCTCCTTGTGGCTCTCAGTGTGCAGCCTACTTCTGTCTCGTGAAAACGTGAGCTCCTCCTGTCCAGGTTTCCGTAGTTTTGGTGCCAGCCCGAACATTAATGTTTTGATCTACTCTGGGATCCGTGTTTCTATATTTTTTCTGTGATTGTGTTCAGCAATTTACATTGAGTTTTTGTGTGTGTGTGTTTTTGTTCCACAGCTAAGTGAGCTCATTGTTGGCACCGCTTTCGGATTCTGCAGCTTCTGACTTTTATTTGCTTTGTCTTCCAGCTCATTTGCTTTCCTCATGTGTTGAAAAGGCTCCTTTCTTTTTTTTTTTCCACTCCCTCTTTTTTTTTTTTTTTTCCTTTTCCAATCATCCCTTTTCTGTACTCAGTACCCCCTCCCCCTTGCATCACCTTTCTTGGACGAAACCCTTTTTACTTTTTTAATTCCCACCCGTCCTCTCTCGGATTAAAATGGAACTTATCTCTCATGTCAAATGTTTTATCACATTCTATCAAGTGGCATGAATTAGAGTCAAATAATCTTCCTGTATACATCTTCTAGCATGGCCCACATCTACTCAGAATGCCTCATACATGCGTAAAGCCCGCTGGCCGGCGGGTCCTCCCCCTTCTCTGCATGCGCGCCTTTCTGGAAGTCCTGAGCCCAGAGTGTCTGGAGCACAATCACCCATCCAATAGGCATTGAAAACAGAGGCAGGCAGCACCCTCGGGTCTGCAGCTAGGAGCGTGGAGACTCTGCCCATCTCCGCTGAATTTAATTCCAAACCACAAATTTTCAACAAGCCTGTGGATTGTTCTTTTCAATGCCTAGGTTGCCTTTTTTTTTTTTTTCTTTGATCAGTATTTTCTGATTCTCAGTTTTGTGTGGCCCATGTATGCCTGTGTGTGTGTGTTCCCGTGTGAGTCTTGGTGCGAATGACCTTGTGTTCCCCGAAACTTAGAAAACAGCTAGTACTGAATTGGGTGTTTCATCTGCAGTTGAGCCTGTCACTTTATGGACAAATAATCCACCCTTCCTTCCTTTTTTTTTTTTTTTTTTTTTTACTTAGAAGTGCAAGATGGAATTTGTTTTTAAGGGAGCCTTGTTGAAGGCAGCAATGCAGACTTTCTCTTCCGTGGCTCTTTTTATGAGAAAGTGCAACTGCTGAATCTTCATTTCAAAAGGGAAAGAGTGCAGCGCTGGCCAGCACAGATGGTAAAACTGGACTTGCCTAAGTATTGAGGAACACAGGCAAATTCAGGCTCTCCAGTGTCTAACATGAGTTAACAGTGAAATGAAAGATTGCTACAAATACGTTTTTCAGAAAGCAAGTTATGTTTAGGGTTATTAAAAAAATTCATGGAGTCCCTAGTCCCTTGTTAGATTCCAATGAACAGCTTGAAGTGACTTCGGCAATATCGGGGGCACCCCTACAACTGAGTTTCAGTTAGTTTGAATTTCCTCGCCCTGGTTTTGTTTTCACAATGGAGTCTTGGTTATAACCACCCCCCTACACACACATGGAATATTTGATTCTAAAGGCTTACGCAGTACACCCATTCACTGTATGTTACTCCTAACCTCACAGAAAAAGAATTTCCCAGGAGCTTATTTAGGTGTAATGAGCGTCTTTGCCATTTACTTTCTTACTTTCCAAATAACCTGATCCCCTAATTTACAGAATATTGGTGCTAGGCAACCTAACGGATGTCGTGTAAAAGAAGTTATTGAATCTGTCAGGGATTTAAAACATTTGTCATTTTAAAAACCCAGAGCTTCTCAAAAAGCTTCATTACCATGCAGCCTCGGTAATTTAATTCAGGACTTACTGTTTTTCTATAATCTAGCCGCAAAACATCAGATTACCAACATGTTTGATTATTTTTGGCTTCTGTTTCCTCAGGCATGGTGTTTATTTCTTTGCATATATGGTCCACAAGACTCTCATGTCCACCAAGCTTGGGGGGGAGGCAGGAGGAGCTGTGAAATCTTCTACCCTGAATTTCTTGTTGCAGTGAACTTACTCTTTCAAGTTCATTCCTTAATGGTACCGGTCCTGGGACAGCTTTCTAAACAATTGGCAGAAATCTATTGAGAAGGACTTGTTGATCTGGGAGGTTTCTCTCCCAAATTGTTGCATTTTGATAAATGGCAAAAATGAATAATAGCAAATTAGCATTTTGAATGAAGGAAAAAATAATATATCTTTGAGATTGTTTGCTGTTTGGGGGTTGTTGATTCTGACTGTTGTGTCATTCTCTGGTTTTTAATTCCTGCTGACATCTGTCATTCAGAGGCATGTTCTATGAGTTCCTGTTGTGTTTTTCATTGCGTTTCAAGTCTCAGTTTTATTTACCTGATGAGTCCCGTAAGTTCTTGCTGTTTGATAAGGCTCCCCTCCCCCGCCCTCCCACTCCCCCTTTTGAGAGTGCTCTTGTAGAAAGGCTGTGTGGCTGCAGTGGGTATTTGTGTCTGAGAATATTTGAATTAATAGCTGGTCATTTAATGGTGCATTTTCTATTTTAAGTAGGCTCCTATCCAATGCTCCCTGGGCTGGGTTTCTCTCTGCCTCGTCATTGTACTTTTGGCTGCAAGTGGGTGCTTGTGGGAGATTATCGGCATAGCATTTGGGGCTCTCTATTGGGTGTTCTGCATTTTTATTTATTTTATTATGTAACTTAAGAACATGCTTTCCAAATTCATCTTCACCAAATTTTGCTTTAAACCAAACATTCTCTAGGTTTATTGGAGAAATACATCTGGACATCACAATGCCTAAACCAGGTCATTTTTTTTTTTTTTTTTGGCAGTGAAAGTTCCCCCTGTTTATTAATATAATTGCTTTAATATAAAGGCTCTCATAAAATACTCACTATTCTGATAATGTGCCTATGGAAAAACTAGCCCTCCAAAGTGCTGTCCAGAAAACACGCCTCACGGTATTTTAGATGTGTATCTGTACATTTTTCATGTGCATATTTGTAGCTTATTTCCTGAAAAATCCACTACAATTATCTATTGTTTTCACTTGCTACAAAATAACAGCTTGTCATATTTTGAAGCAAAATATTCAGATATTTGAAGCAAGAGACTATTCCAGCATGGCCAACAGTAACAGTGAACTTAAATTCTATTATTAAAGATACTGGAGTTGTCAAAGAAAATGAGATTGCCGTAAGACTCAAGTGCAAACTCGGTCTGCTTGCACATGATCGCCGACTTTTAGAGAAAATATAAAACATGGATATGAAATAATCTCCATATTCCTCCGGTAGCAGCTAAGGAGCAGAGCACAGCTTAGGAAACGACTTGAAGGTGGTGATTTCAAGTTGGAGTGTCCATAAATCATGCAGATGGCTCTTCCCCCTTCTGCCATGATTAACTCAGCGTCTTCCCCAAAACAAAAACATGCTTTTTGAAATTAAAGATCAGATCATCAAGAGAAGCACCTCAGATTTCAAGGTCTAAACAAAAATTAATTTATTTTCTTTCCTCCTTGTACTTCTTGAAGACACAGACAGAGAAGAAAATCAGGATTAAAAGAGATGTGCTTAGGGTGAATTCATCTGCTTAAACCTCACAGGCTCGGGGATGAGTGATTAAAAAGCCATCTCAAACTTGGATGGCGTCCACACTGGCAGTAATTCCGCCTGCGCGCTGACGGTCCGCCGGCCCCCGTGTCGCTGTGAACCGGGCCCGGGGAACGTTCGACTGGAGATGATACATGGATTATATAGGTCAATTATACACTTAATCTGCCTTCTGGAGGATTAAGTATTTGCAGATTGACTCTGCATTTGGCTTCTCCGTGGCAGTTATCAGATCAGGAAAGGGCCCCTTACCAAACGGCCTCGTAAGAACTTAATCAGGCAGCACGGATAGATTCGGATGAGACTGCTGCTCAGGATTCCCTGCCTTGCTCAGATTTTAATTTGCTCTTCCATTATCAAATCATGTATTTGTCCACTGTATGTGGCAGCATGGTAATTGAGTGTGAATAATTTCCCTTTAAAGGGGTAATTTGAAAAAAAAAAAAAAGGATCCTCTGCCGATTGAAATATATTTGTTGTA